CTGCAGTGAATGGGTGCCGTCAGAATGAGAGTCCAAACAGCTGATAAAAACATCACAGTAATCCACACCACTCCAATCCATCAGTTAACATCTTGTGAAGAGAAAAGCTGCATGTTTGTAAGAAACAAATCCATCATTAAGATGTTTTTATATTAAAACCGTTGCTTTCAGCTTAAATACTCTGGAGTCCTCTATCCATAATATTGCTTTCTCCAGTGAAAAAGTCGCCTCTTCTGAATCAGGAGGGGAATATGCACAGATCAAGCACTGTTTACAAGCCAAAACAGTCTAAAGCACTTCTAAACACCTGTCCATCAATTAACGCCTTGTGAAGTGAAAAACTGTTTGCAGGAAAAAAAAAAAAAAATTTTTTTTGAAGGCATTGCTTCGGGCCAAAATATGAGTTCATAATCCATATTAACACTTCTCCAGTGGAAAAAGTCCATCCCCTGTTGTCCTCTCACTTTAAAGTCTACCCACATATTTGTTTACCACTGTGCATATTTCTCTCCTGATTCAGGCGAGACAACTTTTTCATTGGAAAAAGCAATATTTTAGATCAAGGTATTTTAGCTGGAAGCAACGGTTTGAAGTTAAAAACATCTTAATGGTGGATTTGTTTCTTGGTGTGGTGTGGATTATTGTGATGTTTTTATCAGCTGTTTGGACTCTCGTTCTGACGGCACCCATTCACTGCAGAGCATCCACTGGTGAGCAAGTGATGTAATGCTACATTTCTCCAAATCTGATGAACAAACAAACTCATCTTGGATTGCCTGAGGATAAGTACATTTTCAGCAAATTTAAATTTTTGTGTGAACTATCCCTTGAAACATCACACAAGAGTTTCTATACACTTTCAGTCCGTTGCCATACAAATTCATCTCTTACCGCTGGGTCTTTGGTGCAACAGGAGAAGGGCACGCCACATTTTTCTCGGCTGGGGTTGCTGTCTGTGCAGTTGAAGTAGATGTTGAGGTTCCAGTCATCTGCTCCAAACGCCCCACAGCATTCCCACTGAAGAAACACAAATATTGTGCATGCAATTACATTTCTTGAGTTTTGGAATGCACTTTCATCTAGAGACACATCTCTAATAGGAAGTACAGAGAAAGCATTGAGTGCATTAGACTGTATCTGTTTAATATACATCAACGTCACAGATGTGGCATAAGGCAGCCGCTCCTGAAAGAAAGCAAGCCACGATCCCCCATGTTCTCCCATTACACTAATATCTGATGTTGACATGCAGTGCTTTGCTGTGCCTTTTTTATCATGCAAGGTCAGAAAGGAAATAACATGACAGCATCTGCCTGACTCTGATATCTAATTAAATCTGTCCTGAGGAAAGGCATCTGCTGGAAAGAGATCTGCAGTACAGAGCATAAAGCTGGAAAACACACACACAGCTGCAGTGCAGTGTGGGACTGTAGTTGGGTTTTGCTCAGGAAACAATGTCTTCTGTGTGCAAAGTGTGAACTTCTGCTCATATCATCAACAGTAAACTAAGAGTTGTCCCTGAACAAACTCCTAATTTGCTGCTTATTAATAGTTTGTAAGGTAGTTACTAAGTTAAACTTAACTTTAGGTATGGAGTGGATTAAGGGATCTAAAATATGATTATGCAGAATAAGGCATTAATATGTGCTTTATAAGTACTAATAAATAGCAAAGATGCTAGTAATACGCATGCTAATAAGCAACTAGTTAATAGTGAGAATTGGTCCTTAAAATAAAGTGTTAACTTACATTTACATGTTAATTTATATTGATTAGAAATATAGATTATGTTGAATAAATGGAAAAAAATAGAATAAAATATAGAATATGAATTCTATGTTTGAATCCTAATGTAAGTGAGTGACCTTACCTCATACCTTTTTTTCACAAGAAATGCGTTTGAACAGTAAAAAATTGTATGTGAAACAAACCACAAGAATATTGACTAAAATAATGTGCAATGATATGTTTGCACTTTTAACCTTGCAACATTCAAATCCAAAACATTTCAAATGTAAATATTAATGTTTTCAATTATAATATATGTTATTAAAAGGCATGCCAAATCTAATTGACATTACTTATTATTATTTTTTCAGACAGTTATGATAAATAATCTATATTCTGTCAGAAATTAATTGGAACTTGGGGCAAAATGCCATCAAAATGAATTAAATTCAATATATGAGGGCAAAAATTGCCCCTTATGAGTTCTTGTTTTTTATATTTACAACATATGAAAATTGAAAGCAATATCACACATTAAGAAGTTAATATTAAGTGAGTTTAGTAATAGTATTGACAATATTGTCTGTTTTTGCTCTATTTCGCCAACAAAATTAATTCCAAGTTCCAATTCCGCAGTAGAACACTGCAGTCATTTGTGAAAGATGAATCTGTGTTTCTGAACGAATCAGTCTAATGAATGATTCAACGACTCACTCATATAAAGACTTGCTGCCACCTACTGGTTATAATTTCATATTTAAAAGTATCTTTTTTTTTTTTTTTTTACATTTCAAATTTCTGTATTCAGAATATTATATATAAAACATTAATCGCATAGCATTATGTGAATATAATTGCAGTGCAAATGCATTTGTGCCAACTCGGCGCTGCATTAAACCGTCTGTATAAATTCAATGCCACTTCAGATGCAGCTTCTGTGCCACCTCTCCAGAGCAAAGATGGATTTTGTTGATACTGATTTCAATTAATTGGTAACAGCGTTTCAATAAAGCAATAAGTCCCAAGAAGCCGTGGTTTACAGTGAATTTATAACAGCTAAGGGGCGTTGTTAGGTACGACGAGAAGCGGAGTGCCTAAAACCCCCTTAGCTGTTATAAATTCACTGTAAACCACGGCTTCACGGGGCTTATTGCTTTTATAAAATGGTTATTCCATATACGTAGTAAGGTTTCACGAAATAAAACAAAGCAAATAAAGTGTAATGATGTTAATAAAAACATTATTCTTCCGCCAAACAATGTAGTTCCTCAGAATCAGTTGTGGTTGCAACAAAGTGGTTGCCGAGCAACACACAAACGTAAACAAAGGTGTATGTTTGTAGAGTAATTTACAACAGCTTCGAACGCGGCTCAGCCAATCAGAATCAAGGACCGGAACTATCCGTTTTATAAATTCACTTAAATGTAATCAATACATTCAATTAGAATAATAAAGCACTATATGTATCTATAAAGTGTCTCTAGATATATTTGATGACCACTAATCTGACTATTGGGGTCGTCTTGTAGTGTTCTCCCAATGTCTATGGTGGTTTTGGACTTAATACTTTGAGTCTGAGGTGAAAAAAAAAAAAGATTTCTAAAGTGCAATAGTGACATTTTCGAATGAAATACTTTTCAGATAAAAAACAACAACTTTCCCAAATGGCACTATTTCCTGAGAATGGCCCAGTAACCTTCTAAATGTCAACACATTTTAGCCTCGAAATAAACAAAATTCAGAGCAGTTTGACATCGTACTATTCAAAGAAATGAAGAAACGTGAACCGACAGGGATCTCAGTAAGTGATCTGAGTGTGTACTGACAGTGAATAAGGAGTCTTCAAGTCATGCTGTTGCTATGGGAACTGCTTCTGTAATGATATGTGGCGCAGATAAACTAATAGTTAGCTTTTTTTTCTCCTGTGCACACACATTTTTATTTCTCTTTCATCTTGTTTACACCTTTCCTCATTTTCACTTTCTAGTGTATTTTCTCTGCCTTTATACTGGAGACTTACATATTCCTGAGTGAAGTCGATGAGGTTCTGCAAGTCTATGTCATCTCTGTAGGCTCGTATGTTGTTGTTGATGAAAAAGTTGAGCTGATCTTTAATCCAGTCTTTAAAGACAAAGGCCAGGACACCGGCGGTCAGCTCCAGGAAGAAGATTATCCCCAGAAACACAGAAAACTGGGAGAGGAGAGAGACAAATACACTTTACTACAGTCATTAACACTCATTTTACCTCTCTACCTCATCCACTGTAGTATTTATTTTCTGTTGTGAATAATGCAATAAAATGCCAAAATAATAATAAAAAAAGTCATTGCTTTATTACAAAAATGTCAATCAGACTGTAATAGTGCAAATTTAGTAAATGCATTTTTTTATTATCGTTACTAAAATGCATTGAAACTAGTTTAATTTTTGCAATCTGAATTTAAAAAATAATATGCCAAAACTGGAAAAAGTTATAATTGCTTTTTTACATAAATGCCTCACTAGTTTCATTTTTACAGTCCGAGTCAAAATAAATAAATAAATATATGGATACATACATTCATATGCACAAAATACCAAACATGTATACAAAATGCCAAAGTTGAAAAAAAAAAATCACTAGTGTCCTCATATTGTAATGGTGCAAATTTGGTAAATATATTTTTATTACTGTTACTAAAATGCATTGACACCAGTAAATTTTTTTTTTAAATTGCTTTATTACAAAAATGTCACTTAGTGACCTCAGATTGTAATAGTGTCAATTTTGTAAATGTATTTGTTAAATTACTGTAACTAAAATGCATTGACACTAGTTTAGTTTTGGCAATCCAAGTTCCAAAAAATGAAATAATAAATACATACATACAAAATGGTAAAAAAAAAATCTAATTGCTTTAATATAAAAAATGGCACTAGTGACCTCAGATTAGTGTATGTTAGTGATTTTTACAATAATTTGCATTAAGAAGTTGCATTTAGAAGTGACAAATAAAATATCAAATATATATTCTACACTCTCAGAAAAAAAGGTACAAAAGTTGTCACTGGGGCAGTACCTTTTCAAAAGGCACACCTTTGTACCTAAAGAGTCTATATTGGTACCTTAAAGGTACATATTAACACCTAAAAGGTACAAAAGTGTACCTTTTGAAAAGGTACGGCCCTAGTGACAGCTTTTGTACCTTTTTTTCTGAGAGTGTAACTGTGTCTAAAATGCTCTGATATTTTTTACACTATCTGAGCAATTTGTGCATGCACTTTCTGGTAGATATTTATCCCGCATGTATTAATGATTGCAGAAACACCCATGCATGTAAGTGTTAAAAAAAAAGCACCTATCTGTTTTGTAGGAGGCTACACCTACACCTAATTAGAATCAAAACATGAAAACATACAAATTTGAGCAGTAAGGTGTTTTCCCTCAGGGCCCCGATACAGCCAGCGAAACCCAGGATGAACATCACCCCCCCAACCACCAGAAACAACCACACTGGATCAAATCCACCCAGATCCGTGATGGAGGAGATGTTAGACAGAACTCCCTGAGGAACACACAGAGCTCTAATTAGTTGAACTGCTTCCCAGAACCTAGAGAATTTGTTTCAAATGTGATTGTTTGCAATTACGGAGATACAAATATTTGCAAATATTTCATTATAAACCGAAACAGTGTGGTTTCAAAGTCACATATATGGCACAGAAATTGATCAAGCATACACAGACACACAATATGTGACCCTGGAGCACAAAACCAGTCTTAAGTCGCTGGGGTATATTTGTAGCAATAGCCAAAAATACATTGTATGGGTCAAAATTATTGATTTTTCTTTTATGCCAAGATATTAAGTAAAGATCATGTTCAATAAAGATATTTTGTAAATTTTCTACTGTAAATATATCAAAACTTAATTTTTGATTAGTAACATGCATTGCTAAGAACTTCATTTGGACAACTTTAAAGATGATTTTCTCAATATTTAGATTTTTTTGCACCC